TAACAAATAATTTAATTTTTATATTTTTTGAGGGATCATGACCAATTAATTAACCGAAAAATATTAAATCGTTATAACAATTGTTTATGCGATTGTGAGAAATTTTTCTATGACATTATAAAAAATTAATTTATTTAAAAAATTGCTTAATCAGATTAAAACATATTAATTGATTTTAGAATAAATAACTTAGATAAAAAGTTTTTACAATATAATTTTCTATGTTTATGTAACATTCATATATCATTTGTGTGAAATATAATTATTAATTAATAATAACTATTATATGATAAAATCAAAAATTAGTTATTACTTTCTTAATATAAAATATATTTTTTTTTGTGTTAAGTAACCCAAAAAGAAGTGCACAAAAATATTTTATCAGTAATGGACAGGGTTGATGAATGTAATAATAATAATAATAATAATAATAATAATAATAATAATAATAATAATAATAATAATTATAATAGATTGTAACAGTTATTGTTTTAGGAAAGTGCCATGTAGGTAAATTGCATTTATCATATTGAATGTAATGTATATTTTGATATGTATTTTTTTGAATTATTTATTAATTATTTAGGAATTTCAAATACGTTTTTTATTTTTCCAAAAAAAAAAAGTTAAATTTAAATGTAATCAAAATAATAACATCTAATCACATTATACGGTCCTGTCAGCAATCAAAAGTTAAAATAATTTTTTGTAATTTTGAAGTGATTAGTGTGTTGATTCTCTAATAATTAAATGAAAGGTTAAATAAATCAAATGTAACGGGTTTTTGAGGGAAAAGATTATACTGCCACTAGGTAAAATTAAATAAGTTTTATTAAATGATTAGGTAAATTTAAATATGTTATATTAAATAATTAGCTAGCAATTATATATATAGATATAAATATATATTTGTACATTTAGCAATTTTCTAAAAGAATGACACATGAGAGTGGAATCGTACATCTGATAGTATAACTTTCTAGTTTAGAAATTGTACAAAATAATTCAAAACTATTTAATGATATCTTTTCCACTTTTGTGAGTATTAATTTAGATATTAATAACTTTATACCATAATTTAGCATAGGGGCTAATTCCTAAACAATAATTGGCTTTCAGTTACAAAGCAAGATGCAAATTGGGTGTAAATAATTGAAAGGCGGTGTTGTGTTCTCTCACCAACTCAAATACATTTGTGTTCAAATTAAATAATTGATCACAAACAAAATCACTTCTGTTGGCAAGAAAAATGCAAATACTAATAAATAATAAATGGTGGTCTATCTGAATAAATCAAGAGGTAGATATGCTTGCACATATGTCCACTTAACAAAATTTATTGAGTTACTCCCTCTATTCATCAACCTTCATTTATATTTCAAACACATTGCACACACCTCATTAACTCTAAGGCACATCCCACACAATACACAAAAATATAGACAAACATTTATGTGAGGTGATCTAATAGTTAGATGGGTCGATTTGTCATACTATTATTTTTTATAACAAAGATATATATATTTATGTTATGATTTCATATTTTTATTTATATTGTTATTTTATGTTCAATTTGACAGTATATATATTCGTTCCAATAGTTTGGTTGTGTAATCGTTGAGTCGATAAATAGTTATCTTGCCGTACCCAACATGTTGGCACCTCTCTTTTTCCTATCTTTTACTTTAATGCAATAATTAATTCTCTCCTGTTGAGGACATCCTTTTGTTTCTCAAAAAATGTTAAATGTAATAACATTATTGAACAGCCATAACAGTTATTCAACCACCAATATTAACTACTCCATCACTTTCTTACCTTTACACAAGCATAAACGCAAACACCTTACGTGCATAAAAAANNAAAAAAAAAAAAAAACAGAACAGAGAAAGAAAACAGAGAAATTGCTGTCAAATGGAAATGGGTTCAACGCTGGAGGAGGGCCCACCGAACCCCTCTTTCGCCATCCGGGATGCCGCCGTCAGGTTCCCCCGGAGCGCCTCCACCAAGGAGGCGCCGCCGTGCGACCCCGTCTGCCTCCCTCCCCGCCTGAGCGCCACCGGCGCCGCATCCCTCTCTCTGAGCCAGCCCCCGACTCCACGGGGTTTCTCCCTCCCCGCCGCGAAGGCCGCCTCCGGATACGGCGACCCGGCCGCCTACCGCTGCGTGTCCTCCGTGCTGAAGAAGGACGGGCAGGTCCTCTGCGTGGCCGCCGCGAACGGCCTGGTCTACACGGGTTCGCAGTCCAGCGCCGTGCGCGTGTGGAAGCTGCCGGAGTTCGCGGAGTGCGGGCAGCTGAAGGCGAAGGCGTCCATGGTGGTGGCGCTCCAGGTGTCGAACGACAGGGTCTACGCGGCGTACGCGGACTGCAAGATTAGGATCTGGCGGCGGACTTGGGAAGGGGTCGTGCGGCACGTGAAGGTGGCGACGGTGCCGGCGACCGGGAGCTTTGTTCTCAGTTACATCGGCGGCAAGGATAGAACGGTAATTATACACGTGTGTTTGAGTGTGAATTTATAATTTGATGTGTGCTATCATTTAGGTGTCCCTGTCCAATTATTTATTGATAGTATTGTTAATGATAAATAAATAATATAAGACAAACTGATATGCAGTTTAAAACAGAATTTCCGGTGCATAAAAACTGCATTATTTCATATAAATAAATATCAAACAATATTGCAATTCATACTTTCTCAACGACGATTATACTTTTAAACTAAAAAACAACATAAACAAAAGTATGTATTTCATAATATAACGATGCATTTTTGTTTTTAAGATACAACCTTGTACAAGAATTTGTATGAAAGAATAGTTATTTTGTTTGGTCACTCTTTACCAAGTTATTTCGATCCTACCTCCGTAATGTGTCCACAAAAGGTTTTACACGTTAGTTGTGTGTGTTGTGTGTGTTTATGTGATTAGATTATAACTAAGTTCATTTCTACCGAATATTTTTCTTATCTTATATTATACTTAAAAAGAAAAAAATGAAATACATTACTCAATTCAAATCTCACAATTTTTATAGGCGAAGCACTTAGGACCAATTTCATCGCTGGCAATCAACGCCTCTGACGACATTCTCTACTCCGGCTCGTTAGACAAGACGGTCAAAGTGTGGCGTATCTCTGATTTCAGATGCATAGAGACAATCCACGCCCACCCGGAGCCCGTCAATGCCCTCGCCCTCGCCGACGACGGCGTCCTCTACACCGCCTCTGACGACGCCACTGTCCGCGTCTGGCGGCGCAATTTCTTCGGCGCGGGTGCCGGCTCCCGCCTCCACTCCCTCATCGTGACCCTCCCCGCCAAACACTCCCCTGTCCGGACACTCACCCTTGCCGGGGACGGCGCCGTTCTCTACGGCGGCTGCACCGACGGCTACGTCCACTACTGGCTTCGCGGCTGGTTCTCCGGCCAGCTTCAGTACGGCGGGGCACTTGCGGGACACACCCACGCCGTCATGTGCCTGGCGGCTGTGGGCGACTACGTGGTGAGCGGGTCGGCTGACACGACGGGACGAGTCTGGGTGAGGGAGGCGGACGGGTACCACACGTGCATTGCAGTACTGCAGGGCCACCGGGGGCCGATCAGGTGCGCGGTGGCGCTGCCCGACCGGGAGGAGGGTGCTGAGGAGGGTTGTACCCTATGCACCGGGAGCTTGGATGGCGTGATCAAGGTGTGGCGCGTGAGAAACACGGTTGGCTGTAGTCAAGCTCGTAGCCCATCGCCGAACGCGCGCGAGTATTTTGAGTTGACTTGAAGTTTGACTGGATGGGTTGACACTTTAATTTTATTTTTTATTATTTTTTTTTTGTAATGGAGGTCTTGTTATTAGTTGATCAATGTTGTTTTTTTTTTCTCTCTCTTTTGTAGAGAAGAGATTAGCATAAAATATTGTGATGTGATCTTGAATATCTTGCTGAGAGGTACATTCTGTGTTCTGATCAGTGAGAAGCCGCGTGATGGCGTTTTTTCTTCGGTGCATAGTATAAGTGTGAAAAAATTTAGTAGTGCCATCTCCCTCTTTCAACTAATGGACTTGAGCTTTCTGCTGCCAGTAACTTTCCTCGTCTTTGTGAGCAATGTCTAATTCTTGCCTTGTTGTTTCCCAAGCTTCCCAATTATCCTCGATGCCAATGCTTCTTAACCTTTCCAATTTTTCTGTCAAGTGTGCAATTTTGCTATGTAGATGTGATTTGAAGGTTGCACTCCATGACAGAATGGCTAGCCTGGGGCATAATTAATATATTACTATTTTTGATATATAAAGTTAGGGCTGAGCATGGGACTCGGAGAATTTCGAACCGTTCCGAAAACCGAACCGAAAAATAACCGTTGACCATTTGACTTTCTCCGAACCGAACCGAACTGAAAAAATAATTGGTACGATTCTGGAGATTTCACAAATATCCATACCGAGAACCGAACCGAACCGTACCGTACTGTACCGAACTGTACCGAACCGAAGAACCGAAATTAAGAACCGAATTATAGCATTAAATGTGTTACTAATATAGCAGAAATTCTATGGTGCCACATGTGGCACCATATTATGGTGCCACAACATGATGTGGCACATTATGATTGGTGCCACAACTATCACACATCATGTTGTGCCACCAATCATAATGTGCCACATCATGTTGTGGCACCATAATATGGTGCCACATGTGCCACCATAGAATTTCTGACTAACATAATTTATGTCAACTTTGATTCCATATAATATAGTAATAAATATTAACATTCATTTCAATTTCATTCTTAGTAATACATGATATACAATTGAATTTTTTCTATTATAAAATAATTACTTAAAATAATATGAAAGTTTTAAAAATATTTTTGTAAGAAAAAAATATTATATTTTATTTGAATTTTAAATTTTCAATATTAGTTGCACAAATTTTAGTTGTAACTAAAATTTAGAGTTACTTATAAAGTTGATTTCAAAATAAAATTTTTATGTGAGGAAGTAGTGATGAATGTTGGTTTTATTAAAGCATATAAAAATTAAATAACTAAAATTTAGAGTTACTTCTAAAATTGATTTCAAAATAAAATCTTCAATATGATGAATTATTGATGAATGTTGTTTTTTAAAGCATATAAAAATTGAAATATAACTAGGTAGTCATTAAAAAATAATTAAAAAAAAAATCTCCGAAGATTCGAACCAAACCATACCGAACCGAACCGTCCCAATTGTCCCGAATACCGAACCGGACCGAACCGAAAAATAAAATTCTCCGAACCGAACCGAACCGAATTTTTGGTACGGTTCCGGAGATCGAATTTTGGGATCTCCGAAGTTTGGTACGGTTCTGGAGATTTATCAATCTCCGAACCGTACCGACCCACGCTCACCCCTATATAAAGTCGAGCTAATTATATAATTTTGGGCTGGAGCTTACAGTTACAAACCCCGACGGAATAGTTCCGTAACGAGACCGTAACATCTCCCTTCACTATATTGATTGAAAAAAATTTGTTGGTAATGTAATTTTTATAATTTGGAAGGAACATGCTCAAATAATTTAGTTGAAATAGTTTATAAGATTTTAAAGTAGTTTGACTATGGTATTAAGAGAAATGCTCACCTACCCACGGTAGGCACATGTTAATATGCCTACCGCGTAGGTGGCATGCACTCATTAGTGATATTAATATGTATAAAAAATACATCACCAATGAGTGCATGCCACCTACGCGGTGGACATATTAACATGTGCCCATCATGGGTAGGGGAGCATTTCTAATGCTATTAAAACTATTTAATTCATATATTTAGAGAATTGTTTCATGAGATACAAAATAAAAGAAAATAAAGATAATGAAGAAAAAATATTGCAATAGAATTATTTATACTTATGCAATTTGTATTTGGTGTGAATCATTATTAGTCTATATTAGCATTATTTATTATATAATATAATAACAAAAAATATATTATTACACATAATAGGGTGTATTAATGTGAAAAATAAAAAAATATTAATAATAGATTTTGTAACGAAATTGAAGGAAACTAAATACTTTTATTTATGTTGCTAGCAATTATTATGTGTATATAGATAAATATACATGGGATGTGTACATGGGGCAAGTTTTTTCTATGGATACATGTTCAAAATTTGTCAATAATGGGCCAGTGAATTAGCTCATACACCCCCCAAGTTAAGCCCAATCAAAGCTTTCACCCTCATTCATCGGCTCCATTTTTATTTTACCGTCTATTCCGATCAAAGTAAAAACCAAAATAACGAAGTAGTAGTACATACACGTATATGTTGGCCGCCGCCGTCGCCGTCGCCGCCGCCGCTGGTGAGTCACGGATGTTATCTCGTAGCTCTCTCTTCAGGTATCACCCAGTAAATTACAGATTTGTATTCCAATTTTTCTATTTTTGAAATGATTTTATATCCCGTTGAGTTTTTTTTTTTTTTTTTTTTTTTTTTTTTTTTTTTTTCTGCAGAGTTAGCACTGGAGCTCGTAGTAGTACGAATACTTGCTTGCACCCGAAGCCATTACCTCACTTTCAGGTTAGGAAAATGAAATATTTATGTTGGAATGAACCCAAATTCTGATCTTTTGTAGGTTTTATTCTGTTACTCTCAGTTTACTTGGTTAATTTCATGTCACAGACGTATAAGTTCTTCCATGATATTAGCAACGATTTGATGATGAGTAGTAGAAAGAGAAGAGTTGATATTGGTGGAAAAGGTAATAAAAACGTTACACAAACGTGGAGGGCGTTGTCTACTCAGACTATTTGCAGTGAGGGTAATTTTTCTTCTCATTTGCAGCGAGATACTTGGCAGGGTGAATATTTTCAGTTGACGGATCCTGACAATTTGACGTGTATGTTATCTGTAATCGATTTTTGACATGTATGTTATCTGTAATCGGCCAAAGCTGTAAAGATGTACTCTTTGATTGAGCTCGATTCTTCGATTCCTGAATAGTGTAATGATCGAGTAATGGCATCTGTTTCAAAAGTTCGTTGTTCGGTGCTACCAACTGGTTGATTGATTTATGGTGAAGAAAATTTTATTTTGTTTCGTCTTTTGTGTTAGCACCTGATGCTCAAACTAGTAATCCTGAAGTTCTTACTGAGTCAATCGGAGAAGATGCATGTCCTATGTCAGAAAGTAGCAAGGTTGATATATCTTCAGATGAGAAGTTAGTGCCTCCAGAGAATCATTCAATATCGATGGAGGTAAGGTTTTTGTATGTTTGTGAGTTTTAGTTGTTTATACTGTTAATCTGAACTGGTGCATGAGGCTTATTTAGTTCTTTTATGAAATGTTTTACTTTTCCTTGTCTCTCTCTTTTTTTTTTTTTTTTTTTTTATTATTATTATTATTATTATTATTATTATTATTATTATTATTATTTTGTTTTTTAAGGCTAATTAGGTCGAATTACTTTGTTGTTCATCAATACACAATATTATTAGGAGTTATATCTTCATAGGTTTTAAAGCTTTCCTTGATGGATACGGTTTACCTGAAATTGTGTATGTTTGCAGGTAGGGCGGTCCTTAATGCGTTTCATCAGAGGGAAAGGGTATGCCCCATACATTTGCTCTTGTATTGATGTGAACCTGTGATATTTGTTATACATTTTGAACAGGGATAACACTCAGAAGAAAATTGAGGCTGAGACTGGGGTTAAAATTATGTTTCCTTCATCCAAAACTGATGATTTTATCTGTGAGTTCTTATTTTCCTGACTTCTTATGTTTCTTTTTCTCGGTTTATGCTCAGTTTCATGTTACAGACATTTGTCCTAAGCTGGTGTCTATGAATGGAAGTTTCGTTGATCATCAAGTTACTATTTTTTTTTTCCTATAAACTCTGGACAACTTTTATCCACAGTTGATTGTAGAGCAGTCATGACATTTCTATCATCAGTTAATTCTTGAAAATGATTTGTATTATATATTGACAACCTTAACTTTTATCCACAGTTGATTGTAGAGCAGTCATGACATTTTTATCATCAGTTAATTCTTGAAAATGATTTGTATTATATATTGACAACCTTAACTGTATGGTGTTTTCATTTTTCCCTTTCGTTGACAATCACATAATTTTTTTGAAATGCATGTTCTGGTTCTAGTTTCTACCTTACCAGCATAATGAATATTGTTGATTGGTGTATGGAGTTGGGCAGTCTTGTGTTATGTGTTTTATTCCAACTGATAATCTTATATGGACAGTATATCTTATACTGCAGGCATTGAAGGTACCTCAGCTGAAAGTGTAGCTAAAGCATCTGAGAAAATACAAGTTATAATCAATCAGGTTCTATGAATCGCCATCCATTTATATTTTGTTGTTTAAATTTTCCCAGGGCCGAAATATCTGATAATAATTGCCACTTTATTCCATGCTTCATTCATTTCCATATCTGATACTGAAATTTTGATAATTTTTTTACTTCCAAGCCTTTATACTACAATTTATTTCAATCTTGGCTCTTAATTACTTATATTTTATTTTTCTTCTCTTCCAATAGGCTGTTAATAGCCGTGACCTCGACTACTCGCACTTCATTTCACTTCCGTTAGCTATCCATCCTGGACTAGTTAACAAACTCGTCGAGTTTCAGAATACAATACTTGGAACAGCAGCATCAGATAAAGATGAGATTAATTGTGGTACTGCAGATGAGGCAGACCAGCAATCAAGTAAAGATTCCAAAGTTGTTGAGTTGGAAACTGAAAAAGTCGATGCGCATGTTGAAGTAAAAATAACGGGTGACCAACATTCAGCTAAAGCACCTCTAGTGGCTGAACACAAAGCTGAAGACGCTGCTAATTCCAAAGTTGTAGAGATGGAAGCTGAAAAAGTTGATGCTCATGTCCAACATTCAGTGAAAGCACCCCGAGTGGCTGAACTCAGAGCTGAACACTCTTCTAAGGCATCAATTATAGAAAAAATTGCTAATATTCCTATCGTCAGTTACCGTCCTAAAGAGTTGAAAGTTCCCCCCTCAGAGGCTGGTTCTTCAGAATCAATAGGTATAAAAGTTAACATGATTAGCGACATGTTTTCAGTAGTTATTGTTTCTTTGTATGTATATGTAAAAAATTATAATTATCTTCATACCCAGTATAAATTTATTGTAAATATGAATTCCCTCTGTAGTTCATCTAGCAGCTAACAAGCGATGTTTTGACATGTAATTCTTCCTGGGATTGATCAGATCATATTCTATATGCAGATTTGGGAATTGATAAGTCCCTATTTATCAAACCAACAACCTTTCACTTAACTGTACTCATGCTTAAGTTATGGAACAAGGACCGAGTCAAAGCAGCTGCCGAGGTTCTGCAGGTACAGTTCTTCTAACCGAACATGCATATCTGACTAATTCAAGGCCTTACCATATGACTATTAATGCCTTCTAGAGCGTCTCACCGAAAGTATTGGATGCGTTAGACAACAAGCCACTTTCAGTCAGACTTAAGGGACTGGTGAGTGTTGCATCTTGATTACTATTTTAGCACCTGATTGCCATTGATTTCATTTCTTTTGTTGGTTGCTCCTGCCTGATCTTTTCTCAAGAAGATAGTGGACTAGAAATGTTAGTTATATTTGGAACTAGCCTTGTGATGCCCAATATGTGATTGGCAATTTCTGTGGAACAGAATATGTTGCTTGGGATACTTATTAAGGTTTTTGGT